CCAGCACGGCTTGTAATAGCTGTGTGAGGGTGATTTTCATCCATAAAGGTTTGCACTTTCAGCCACATTGCACAGATTTCCTTAATCTTTGTAGTAGGCAACTTCTTCAATTTCTCTCTCCCCTCCTCCGAACCAGTTTCCTCAGGTCTGGCCTCTTGCTGTTGAAGTTGATCTAGCAGCTCATCAGTGGTTAGTTCTTCATTGTCCTCCTCCACCAACTCTTCCACATCATCCCCACTAACCTCCAACCCCAAGGACTTTCCCAATGACACAATGGATTCCTCAACTGGCATACTCCTCTCAGGGTTAGCCTGAAACCCTTCAAAATCCCTTTGGTCTACACATTCTGGCCACAGTTTCTTCCAAGCAGAGTTCAAGGTCCTCTTAGTCACTCCCTCCCAAGCCTTACCCATAAGGTTTACACAATTGAGGATATTAAAGTGATCTCTCCAAAACTCTCTTAGAGTCAGTTGAGTTTCTGAGGTCACTATAAAGCACCTTTCAAACAGAGCTTTTGTGTACAGTTTTTTGAAGTTTGCAATAACCTGCTGGTCCATGGGCTGCAGGAGAGGAGTGATATTAGGAGGCAAAAACTTCACCTTAATGAACCTCATGTCCCCATAAAGTCGCTATGCCACGTCTGTAGGATGACCAGGGGCATTGTCTAACACCAGGAGGCACTTAAGGTCTAATTTCTTTTCAGTTAGGTAATCTTTCACATTGGGGGCAAATGCATGGTGTAACCAGTCATAGAAAAAGTCCCTAGTGACCCATGCCTTACTGTTTGCCCTCCACAGCACACACAAATTAGCCTTAAAGATATTCTTTTGCCTGAACGCTCTGGGAGTTTCTGAGTGATACACTAATAAAGGCTTCACTTTGCAATCACCACTAGCATTGGAACACATCAACAGAGTAAGCCTGTCTTTCATAGGCTTATGTCCTGGGAGTGCCTTTTCCTCCTGAGTAATGTAGGTCCTGCTTGGCATTTTCTTCCAAAACAGGCCTGTTTCATCACAATTAAACACTTGTTCAGGTTTCAGTCCTTCACTGTCTATGTACTCCTTGAATTCCTGCACATATTTTTCAGCTGCTTTGTGGTCCGAACTGGCAGCCTCACCATGCCTTATCACACTATGTATGCCACTACACTTCTTAAATCTCTCAAACCAACCTTTGCTGGCCTTAAATTCACTCACATCATCACTAGTTGCAGGCGTTTTTTTAATTAAATCCTGATGCAACTTCCTAGCCTTTTCACTTATGATCACTTGAGAGATGCTATCTCCTGCTATCTGTTTTTCATTTATCCACACTAATAAGAGTCTCTCAACATCTTCCATCACTTGCGATCTCTGTTTCGAAAACACAGTTGAACCTTTGGCAAGAACAGCTTCCTTGATTGCCTTTTTGTTGCCCACAATAGTAGCGATGGTTGACTGGGGTTTATTATACAACCTGGCCAGCTCGGAGACACGCACTCCACTTTCATACTTATCAATGATCTCTTTCTTCATCTCTATAGTAATTTTCACCCTTATTCCTGTAGGGTTGGCACTAGAAGCTTTCTTGGGACCCATGGTCACTTATTTTGCAGATAAAATCACCAAAAACACTGTAATAATACGAAATGTTCCGATTGTATGCTTGGATGTTACCGCGGAGGCTGGCTGGTAAACAATGCCACCGGCAGAACATGTGAGGCTGGCTAAGGCCGCACATTAGACGCGCCTCGGACGAACAGCGTTGAGCGGGTTTTTTAGCAGTATGCGAGGCAAAATCTTAGCGATAAAATGTATCAGTATGCGGATTTAACGTTATGTAAGGCCAACGGTATGCGGGGGTCCACTGTATTGTGTAAGTATTAGTATTAGTCTGCCCAAAATGCTCATGCATGTTAGTGACTTACTTTGTGCTTAATAATGTACAGTGATACCTTGACTCATGAGTGCCCCAACTTACGAGTTTTCTGAGTTATGAGCCGTTGCTCAGTCAGTTTTTTGCTTTGAGTTGCAAGCCAAAATCCGAGTTATAAGTGAGCTTCAGATATGCCGCCATTAATTGGCGGCATATCTCAAGTCAAATCCAATTCTGTACCCAGAGGAATGTCAGGTACTTCATCCCATCCCAGATGCTCTTCCAAGACATAACTGGAAGGATAATACTCCCACACTAATCCCAGATTGTAGTGAGGCACCTCATCCTTTGTTTGGTTCTCATGTTTTCATATAAATCTGGGGAAGAGATAACCTCTATTTCGACAGAAACATTAATTAAGTTGGGTGGAGTAGTGATAGTGGTAAAATACAATAAAATTTTTATTTCTTTGCAAGTTTACATTGAAATTCTTTAGTTACAATAATGAGCTGTAGGCAGAGAGCCACTATCATGCCATGGCATTATGGCCAGACTAAATTAATGGCTTACAGACTACTTAATACTAGAGAAATTGATCATAGTTCGTTTCAGTTGTATATCTGATTTTATTTAAAGCAGACAGTAAGTTAACTCGAATTAAAATCTGGGGATATTACATTGGGACAATTTGAAGGTATTTTGTAGGTTGTGTATATCAATAATAAATATTTAGTGTTATATTATTGGAATACAATATTGAGCGTTGGTGAAAGTAGTTTAGAGCATGAGAATGCTACAATATTGTGTAAGGCAGTATAGTTTTGTGCAGGTATTTATACTACAATGTAGTAGTATTATGTATGAACTTTGGGTAATTAAATTTTGAAGTGTTAAGATTTAGGAGATCTTAATTTAAGTATTGAGTATTGAATATTTAGTTTAGGGTGAGTAGATGGTTTTTAAGAAGAATCTTGAATTGATGTTCAGACCTGGTTACTTTAGTATTTACTGGTAATAAGTTCCAAATTTTGGGGCCCTTTATGAGTAGAGTTCTTACATAGTGTGGTGTGGACACGGGGTACATCAAAAAGTGATCTGTGTCTTGTGTTATGGTCGTGCATCCTGTTAAGGTTGGTGAGGAGAAGTGGTGTAATGGTGGTGGTTGTAGTAGTGATAATAGTGGGTGGAGTAGATATGGTGGTGGGTGGAGTAGTGAGGGTGGTGGGTGGAGTAGTGAGGGTGGTGGGTGTAGTAGAGATCGTGGTAGGTGGGGTAGTGAAGGTGGTGGGTGGAGTTTACAATATTTCTTATTTATAAATACATTTTTCTTATTTAAAAAAACCCTTAACAAAAAACTGGGGTGGGTTTTTGGGGGGGGGGCTGGAATGGATTAATGGCATTTCAATTGATTTCAATGAGGAAAATTAATTTGATATACGAGCAAATTGAGTTATGAGCTAGGTCATGGAATGAATTAAAATCGTAAGACAAGGTACCACTGTACAGTGGAACCTCGAGTTTTGAACTTAATCCGTTTCAGGAGCTAGTTCTAAAGTTGAAAAGTTTGAAAGTCGAGCCAGTATTTCCCCTAAGATATAATGAAAATACAATTAATCTGTTCCAGAAACCCAAAAATATTCACAAAAAAATACATTTTAAAGAGATTACATTATAGTTTTACATACACACAACAAACATACACAGTACAATTAGTAATAGATAAATAAACATTTAAATAAACATATAAAATAAAATTTTTACTTACCAAAAAAAAAATTGTTTAAGGGAGCATGGGGTTGTGTAAACAACATGGCAAGCAAGCAAGCAGGCTGTCAAGCAGGAAGGCTGGGCTGGGCTGGGCTGGGCTGGCTGGCTGGCAGGCAGGGAGGCTGGCTGGCTGGCTGGCAGAGAGGCTGGCTGGCAGGGAGGCTGGCTGGTTGGCAGGGATGCAGGCTGGCTGGTTGGCTGGGAGGCAGGCTGGCTGACTGGCTGGCAAGGAGGCAGGCTGGCTGGCTGCCAGCCAGCCTGCCTGCCATCCACCATCACCACCATCCACCAATACCATCCACCACCAATACCATCCACCACCACCATCCACCATCACCACCATGGTATCTTATCTGACAGTCGCACTTAAGAAATATGCACAAAACACAGTGAATTAATTGTGAAATGTTTAAATGAGCAGCAGTTTAGTGTTCACTCGAGCATCAACAAAGCCAGTCTGGCTCGTGAGGGGACACAGACAGAGCGGGCTGGCGGACAGGTCCAGTACCCGGCGGCTTGAAAGACGGAGCGAGTTCGATAATCGGGACAAAGTTGGTTCGAAAAAAGCTGTCGAAACTCAAAGAGTTTGATAAGCAATGCGTTCAAAACTTGGGGTTCCACTGTACATACATACAGTAGGGCCCCAGGGCCCCACTTTATGTTGTTTAACCTTACGGCCTTCTGGTAATATGACAATTTCAAATTATGACCAAAACTCGCTATACAGCAATCTTTCTAATATGGCGTGCCCCACCCGGTTCGTTTACATTCTCTGTGAGTACATCTATTATGTCTGGAAACTTTCAAAAATTTCAGTGTTTTGAAGTTATTGCATATTTTATATGTATGTGCTCTGATGATAATACATACTTGTGTACCTGTACCTAAATATACTTACACGCTATACTGGCATTCAGGTACACATCAAAATCACTGAGTGTGTCCCTCTGGTCTTATGCCATAGTAATGCTAATAGTAGTACATAATAATAATCACTCTTGGACACATTGAATGTCTTATTTTAAGTTAAAATAGACATTTTCGTTAATCCATCCCCTCAAGGAATTTTATTGTACATATCAAGGGGAGTTCAGCCTAAACCGGAGGATATACATCCGCCCAGGGGGTATAGGGAGGCTTCAGCCTTAATTATGGAAATGACACAGATCCAATTCCCTAATCAAGAGATTCCTCACAACATAAGAACCTTCTCTTGAGGGGCCCTCAAGGAATGGTCCTAGTTCTGGGTTGAGTCGGCGTTCTGTCGATCTAGGGAATTGGATCTGTTCTCCAGTTCCCTGAATTAAACCTGAATACCTCCCACATCCCCCCCCAGGTGCTGTATAACCCCACGGGTTTAGCGTTTCCCCCTTGATTATGATAATAATAATAATCAATAATCCATCTATGATATTTTCTTCAAAATTATATAAGAAACACGTTACATAGCTATTACGCAGTGTGCTGCCGTAAAAGTGAATATAAAAAAATAATGCTCCATAGTTCCGGGATTGTACTGAATCCGGACACGTTTTATTCCTGTCAGTCAGGCAGAGTGAACAGGAGCAGATGAGTTGTTTAGTGCAGTAGGTTACTCACAGCAGAGGAAGCAAGATGAAGCAGTGTGAGTATGTGGTGGTGGGTAGGTTTTCTTAGTGTATACCATTGGTGTTTTTGCCTGCTGGTAACTAGTCTACCAGGCAGAAGTGAAGGGGAGGGGGTTGTCATGGATCCTCCCTGTTTATAAATGTACTTAAAATTTTGCCACTAGTAGCGGTGTACTAGTGAGCTAATGTGAACTGGAGCGTGGTGGTTTTTTGGTTTAGATTGTAAGTTGTATAAAAATTACTCATTAAAAAAATGACAGGATGGATAACGAGAACCTTCAAAACCAGGGATGCCAAGCCCATGATGACATTCTTCAGGTCACTTGTTCTATCTAGGCTAGAATATTGCTGCACACTAACAGCAACTTTCAAGGCTGGTGAAATTGCTGACCTAGAAAATGTACAGAGAACCTTCACAGCGCGCATAACGGAGATAAAACACCTCAATTACTGGGAGCGCTTGAAGTTCCTAAACCTGTACTCCCTAGAATACAGGAGGGAGAGATACATGATTATATACACCTGGAAAATCCTAGAGGGACTGGTACCAAACTTGCACACAAAAATCACTCCCTATGAAAGCAAAAGACTTGGCAGACTGTGCAACATCCCCCCAAAGAAAAGCAGGGGTGCCACTAGCACAATAAGAGACAACATAATAAATGTCAGGGGTCCAAGACTGTTCAACTGCCTCCCAGCATACATCAGGGGAATTACCAATAGACCCTTGGCTGTCTTCAAGCAGGCACTGGACAGGCACCTAAAGTCAGTACCTGTCCAGCCGAGTTGTGGTTCGTATGCTGGATTACGTGCGGCCAGCAGTAACGGCCTGGTTGATCAGGCCCTGATCCACCATGAGGCATGGTCACAGAGTGGGGCGCAGGGGCGTTGAGCCCCAGAACTCTCTCCAGGTATACTCCAGCCAGGTGAGTTTTTGTATCCTTCCTAACTCTATATTAATTATTTGCACTCATGCTTCATAATTTGTATGAGTACATGCTGCCCTGAGAGTTTTTTTGTTTTTCAAGTGTAATTTAAATGCCCCTAGACAGCAGTTTGAGCAGCCATTTAGGAGCCAGGACCTTTTATTTAAGTTGATGTTTAAGTCATAACAATAGCATATAAATATGCTATGTTTATATGCTATGGAGGTGTGGTAGCTGGGCGGAGGGAAAACATTATGTAATACTAATAGTTCGTAATAATAATCACTCTTGGGCATATTAAATGGCTTATTTTACATTAATATAAACATTTTCATTAATCCATATTTTCTTCAAAATTAGGTATATGAGAAACGCTTTACATAGCATATAAACAAGCTATGTTTATATGCTATGGAGGTGTCATAGCCGGGAAGAGGAAAAACTATGTTTTCTCTGGTCCAGCATCAGAGAAAACGTGTACGAATCTGTGTTTGGCCTGGTCACTCCACTTAACACTCTGCTTTTGTTTACAATTCTCACCATGAATTATTCATTACTTTTCCCTTCGTTTATGATGGCATGTAAAGGTAGTCGTTAGAAACAATTAAATTCAGTGAACAAGGTATGTCAGTGGTAATAATATGGCTCTGGGCCCCAGTGTAGGTAGCTGGTAGGTGTAGCCCACTGCCATTACATCTCTTTGGTTTATGAGTCATTGTAGCACAGCAAGGTATGTTCAAAATTAATTTACGTGAGCAGCAGGAGTGAAATCGTCATTTCCACAGTCAGACACTCTTCACTTTGTCCATTATTGTAATCTAATTGGTGAAACACTTTAACAAAACTGGAAACAAGTAATTTAACTGTACTAAGTTAAATACTGCACTACATGTATATGCAGTGTACTGTTTTGAAAAAGTATACCTCCAGACGTATGACTGGTAGTATTGTAAAGTACAGTAGACAACTGGATACAGATATATATATTCCAGAAAAATGGAGTTAAATGTGAAAATGCAATAGATGGAGTGAAAACTTATGTGCAAAAAAATAGGTTACATTGCCACCCCTCAAAAAAAGCCAAACAACTTTTCTAGTAAATACAGTTCACTAAAAATAATAAACTAAGTATTGTACAATGATTTTAAAAGTTAAGATGTTATGTTATGGGCACAATAAAGCATGTTATTATGTAAAATACAAGATGGTTTAAGCTACCACAAACTTAAATTCTGGTTGTTGCTTAAGTGGTTTGACATGAATGGAGAGGCATGATGTGGCTCTACTGGGCCTCAGATGAAGTGGATAGGATGGATGAAGCAGAGGGCTGGGGTTCATGGACTAAAGTGTTTGGCTGGGGTTTGTAGCCTGAGGTCGACACACAGCTGTTACTTATGGGCGCTCTGAAGTATTCTGTTAAGTGTATCTGCTGTGTATTACCCAGCAGTACTTTATACAGCTGATGGTAGGACATCATTGCTTGGTCCAGTATTCGTTTCAGAGCAGCACTTCTAGATGTGTCTGGATTTTCTTCATTGACAAAGTCTGCAGGTTTAGCAGCAACATGAAACTGCTTACATAACTGATGAAATATTAATGTTTCTCTGCAGGCTCTTCCTCATATTCTTTGGATTTCCATGTCCCTTTTATTTGGAAATTCAGTTTTGCCAACATATCCTCTGAACTTCTTTCTTCCTCATCATTTTTTAATAGTTCTTCTGCCTGCATGTCTTCAAAGCCCTGAAGCAGTGAACAATTCCCTCAACTTTACTCTCAACTGAGAGAAATCCTGTGAAATTATTCACCACTAGGCCATAATTTTCTCTAGCTTATATTTAGTGTTGATTTTGGCACATTATCTCATGCACCCTTGACATGAAGTAAGGCACCTGCAATGTTGAATTTATGCCATCGACCACTGCTGCAAGTAGGTTCTGCACCTCAAATCCTCAGATCTATTAATAAAAAAAAAACACCAACTTGAAAAACAGTTCAGATTAAGCCTAATTACTAAAGAATTAACTAAACGATACACATCAATATTCACAAAACTAATACAAAAATCAAAGCAAATGTACTATGAAAATAGATTTAGTGAAATAAAAGGTGATATGAAAAGTACCTGGCAAACCCTCTCCAAAACTTTGGGCTCTAGGAAACCGTCTGGAAACTGAGAGATAAACTTAACCAAACCAGATGAACCTCACATACAGCCTATAGACACGGCCGACAAATTTAATGTCTTCTTCTCTACTGCAGGATCAAAGCTAGCAAGTCAAATTCCTAGCTGAATGAGTACCTCACTGGCAGCTACCCAAATAGTCTATTTCTAGCACCAACTAATTCCACGGAAGTCTCACTCATCATTAAATCATTAACCCTTAAACGGTCCAAACGTATATATGTGTACGTTCACTCGTGTAGCGCCCCAAATTTTTTGAGAAAAAAAAAAAGTTTTTTTTTTGATAGGAAAAAAGAGCATATGGCATCCCCAATTATTTTAATATGGCATGCAGTGAGTGCACACACCCATTCTCTCATGTCTAGGCTACTCAGGCTTATCATGGCAATGTTGAATGAATGACAAAGAAAATGTATATATACGTTTGGGGCGCTACGCGAGAAAACGTATACAGGAGGGCCCCGCTTTACGGCGTTTCGCTTTATGGCGTTCCGCTAATACGGACATTTCAAATTATGACCAAAACTCGCTATACGGCTCCCCCCACCTGTCTTTCTAATACGGTCACAGCGGCCCACCGAGTTTGTTTACATTCTCCCTGAGCACATCTCCTTATTATGTCTGGAAACTTTCCAAAATTTCAAGTGTTTTAAAGTTATTGTATATTTTATATGTATTGTACTTGATAATTAAACTTGTGTACACCTGTACCTAAATAAACTTACACACTGTGCTGGCATGTAGGTACACATTAAAATCACTAAGAGTCTCTCTACTCTTGATGCAATAATAATAATAATAATAATAATAATAATAATAGTAATAATAATAATCTCTTGGGCGCATTAATGTCGCATATTACGTTAATATAGACATTTCCCTTAATCTATGATATTTTTTCAAAATTATATAAGAAACACATTATGTAACACACAAACATGATACATGCACCCACAGTATAAAAATTTATACAAATATATATGAGATGTTTACCAAACGGTTTGTAGAAGTGTCGGAAGAATTACGTTTTCTCTAGCCCGTCACCTGTTACTAGGGATAACTGTAGAAAAATATTCCTTTTGTATGCCTTCACTTTATAGCTATAATTCTGTACTAACTTGTACACAGTGTAAGAGTATTTGTTTCGTGATTTATTTATTATAATAATAAAAATATTATAAGGTAAAAGTTTCACAAACTCTTACAAATGTACATGAATGAACTAAAACTGGACACGTATTAATACCGTCTATTTCGCCTGACCGAGTGATCGTCCACAACCTGTTCAGTTTGTTTGTTTACGCTGTCTGAGCTCGGTGTATCATTAAATGTTGTATATTACGTTAATATACACATTTTCATTAATCCATCCGTGATATTTTTTTCAAAATTATATAATAAACACGATACATAACATAAATACATAACAAAATATGTGTAGAGAACCTAGGATAACCAAAAAAGGCAGAGTGACTTACTTCCATTGCCTTCACTCAGAGCATCATTTCTTCTCAAAATGATGTTACATGAGAATGGGAGTGTTCTTCTTTATTTATTCTACCGTATCAATGTAGAGACAACCTGTACACAATGTAACTTGTACACAAACCAGACGTGTACACTTTGTTTACAAAACTTACCTTCGCCTGGTTTGTTTACATAACTCTGCGCCTGTCCTCTCTCATGCACTCATTCTTTCTCTCTGGTATGGTAGCCTGGCTGACTACCATACATACCACACTTGATTTTTTACAATAAATACTACTCATCTCACCCTATATTTTAAGGTAAGTAATGAGTGAACTGTATATACATTTTATCGCTCTGGGATGCTTAAATATCATAGAATAGTATGTGTGGGTGGGGTGGCCTGGTATGGTAGCCTGGCTGACTACCATACATACCACACTTGATTTCTTACAATAAATACTTGTCTCACCCTAGATTAAGACTATAAATATTTTAAGGTAAGTAATGAGTGCACTATGTGTGTATTGTACTTTTTTATTGTTTTTTGATGCCTGGTTCTATTGCTAACATAATATATGTTAGTGTAAACTTGTTATCTAGTGTTTGTATGCATTTGTAAGTGGAAAAAAAGGGTGTTCCACTTTACGGCGGTTTCTGCTTTATGGCGGTAGCCTGGAACCTAACCCGCCGTATAAGTGGGGCCCTCCTGTATATACGTTTGGATGGTTTACCTGGAGATTACCTGGTTTAGGGGTTAAAAAACAAAGCAGGTGATCTAGATAACTTGCCACCGTTCATATACAAAAATGCTGCACATGAGCTGTCACCCATTACTGCAACAATGTTTAACAAATCTGTAGCATCCTCAACCTTCCCATCTATACTCAAGACAGCAAGGGTCACCCCAGTCCATAAAGGTGATCCAACTGACTTGAACAATTATAGACCCATATCAAACTTGCCCTTACTTTCCAAGATACAGTGGACCCCCGGTTTACGATCAGCTCCCAATGCGACCAATTATGTAAGTGTATTTATGTAAGTGCGTTTGTATGTGTATGTTTGGGGGTCTGAAATGGACTAATCTAATTCACAATATTCCTTATGGGAACAAATTCGGTCAGTATTGGCACCTGAACATACTTCTGGAATGAAATACAGTGGACCCCCGCTTAACGATCACCTCCAAATGCGACCAATTATGTAAGTGTATTTATGTAAGTGCGTTTGTACGTGTGTGTTTGGGGGTCTGAAATGGACTAATCTACTTCACAATATTCCTTATGGGAAAAAATTCGGTCAGTACTGGCACCTGAACATACTACTGGAATGAAAAATGTTCGTTAACCGGGGGTCCACTGTAATATCGTAAACCGGGGGTCCACTTATTTGAAAAAATAATACACAAGTGTCTTTACTTCTACCTTACTTCCAACAACATACTTAACCCCTGCCAGTTTGGGTTTAGACCAAAAAGTATGAATGGCGCTATTATACAAATTCTTGAACCAATGACACAGCTCTTGATAAAAATGAATATCCTCTGGGGCTCTTCATCGACCTACGAAAAGCATTTGATACAGTTGACCACAATCTCTTGCACCTCAAACTGAATCATTACAGCATCAGAAGACATTCTCTTGACTACCTAAAATCCTATCTTAACGACAGGCACCAGTATGTATATGCAAGTGGAGGCAACTCTGCTATCCAACCTGTAGCTGTAGGAGTACCCCAAGGTAGTGTCCTAGGCCCACTCCTCTTTCTCATCTACATCAATGATCTCCCCAATGCATCCCAAATCCTTAAACCAGTTCTATTTGCAGATGACACTACATATGTCTACTCCCATTCAGACCCAGCTGTACTTAGAAACACTGTAAACAATGAACAGCTAAATTATTATTATTATTATTATTATTATTATTATTATTATTATAATCAAAAAGAAGCGCTAAGCCACAAGGACTATCCAGATGAACAGCTAAAGATATATACTACTTGGATGATGACCAAGAAACTCACTATCAACATAGACAAAACATACTTCATGCTGTTTGGCAAAAGAGCTTTAAATATCCAACTTAACATATTGATAAATGGTTCCCCTATATCAAGACATATTGTGGGCAAATTTCTAAGTCTTGTCCTTGACTGTAATCTTAAATTTCAATCCCACATCCATCACATAGCCAAGAAAATTTCCAAATCAGTAGGAATCCTTTCCAAGATATGATACTATACCACAAACGACACTCCTTACCCTGTACCACTCTCTAATATATCCTTACCTCACCTATGGTATTTGTGTCTGGGGCTCAACCACAGCCAACCACCTTAGACCCTTAATAACCCAACAAAAAGCTGCTGTGCAGGTGATAACCAGCTCCTGTGCTAAACAGCACACCCCACCACTTTTCAGAAGACTCAGCTTGCTAAATATACAAGACATACTTATATTATTGTGCCTACTACATATACAGAACATTAAACTCCACTGTAAACCCTCCCCTAAAACTACTTGACAGTTACAACATAATGAACAGTCACAATACAAGGCATAAGGCACTTTTTAACATCCCTCAAGTCAGTCTCTCACTACACTATGCAAGAACGCTATGCACATAAAGGGCCCGAAGATCTGGAACTCGCTACCGGAACAGGTCATGGATCCCCTGACAACTTATAAATTTAGGACCTAGCTAAAAAAATCATCTTATCTCTCAATATTAACCAAATCAACCAAAACATATGCTAACTAATTTTATTATGTGACCTCTAGGCTTTTAATTCTGCCAATCCATAAACTCATCTTCTTTCTTCTTTCAACACATCGGCCGTATCCCACTGAGGCAGGGAGGCCCAAAAAGAAAAACGAGTTTCTCCTTTTACATTTAGTAATATAGTATACAGGAGAAGAGGTTACTAGCCCCTTGCTCCCAGCATTTTAGTCGCCTCTTACAACACGCATAGCTTAAGGAGGAAGAATTCTGTTCCACTTCCCCATGGCGGTAAGAGGAAATAAGAACAAGAACTAGAAAGAAAATAGAAGAAAACCCAGAGGGGTGTGTATATACATGTTTGTACATGAATGTGTAGTGTGACCTAAGTGTAAGTATTAGTAGCAAGACATATCTGAAACCTTGCATGTTTATGAGACAGATAAATGGACACCAGCAATCCTACCATCATGTAAAACAATTACAGGCTTTCATTTTACACTCACTTGGCAGGATAGTAGTACCTCCCTGGGCGGTTGCTGTCTACCAACCTACTACCTAGAAAACTCATCTCATCTCTCAA